CTCTACCAGGAGGCCGCTCTCGCGGCGGAGCTTTTGCTTTCAGTTGGGGGATTCCCTGTTTACGGCCTCAAGCCTGAGCCTCGGAGAGCCTCGAGAGCCGCGAGAGTCTTTGGAGGCTTTGAAGTCGCCGGCAGCACTTCGGCAAAAACGGGGGATTCTTGGGGCCTCGCCTTGGTGTCGTCGCCTCGTCGCCTCGCGTGCTCCAGGCCGAGACGGCCCCGGCTTCCCAGGCGCCTCTCTCTTTGCGGGTCATGAATTCCAAACCCACGTCCCTTTTTCAGCATTCCTCGCGTGTTTTTGTGGCGCTCTGAAGGCGCCTGCCTCAGCCCCGCTTACGGCCCAGCTCGGGCAGGCCTCCTGTTCTCCTGCTCTGCAGCTCTGCAGCTCTGCCGCTGCTACTGCTGCTACTCCGTTTTGCAGGCGCACCCTCTTCTGGGTTCCGACCCCAGTCACAGTGAACTGGAAAGTCGCGCGGGAGCTCCAGCAACCTGACAGGTCCTGGCATGCGAGTTCCTCCTCCGCCGCCCCAGATCCCGGGGATGCCGCAGGCCTGCCTCCAAGGTTGACGGTCTCCAACCGACGCTGTCAACCCGGTTGTTTGGGTCTCAGGTTCCGCCTCATGCGCATGCGGTTCCACAGGTGGGCAGCCAACGCGCTCTGCACACTGCTAGATGCTGCTAGATTGCTGCTATACGTTGCCAGGCGCCACCGCATGCACATGCTCCGCCTCCGGGCAACCCGTACTATAATGCTATGACCTCGGAAGCCGTGTTGACCAGCGGTGTCCTGCCTGCTGCTGCTCCTGTGAGGCGATGTGCAACATGATGAGCAACCCTGTGGCAGCCTGAGAGCAGGGCTGCAGGCGAGGGGAAAGGCTCAGACTTTTTTTGGGCAGGCAGTGAACCCGTATCTGCATCAGCAGCCGTAAGCTTAGATCTGTCGACAGGGGCCAAGGGCGCTCCCCCCCGGGCACCCAGACAGGCGATGCTTCTGTTGCGCTGAGGTTCGTGGCGCAGCAGGCGGCAGGGAGCTCGGAAGCTAGGCCGAGAATGTGTGGATGGTATATACGTTGGCTGAGTGCTCAGGCCTATGCCGCATACCAACAGCAGCTTCAGCAGGCGGACGCTTGAGCGTGTGAAAGCCGTCTGGACCACAGACTGAGTTCTGTCCGCAGGCCGCGCAGCACCAGCAGCTGATGCAAATGTCCTGCTCTTTCTCCGCTCTGCACAGTGCTGTGCAGATTGCAGTCTGCCAAACTCAGGTATGGAGATCCCAAGGGTGGCAAGTTCGGCAAGGCAGCTTTTTTGTTTCGTGTGCCCTTGTTTCAGATGTTTTGCGGATTCGTCCACGGCTTCTAAGGGGAAGGCTGCCGGTCAGGGGCCGAGCTTGTCTGAAGAAGAGCCTTGTCAGTGCATTTAGCGCTGAGGTAAGGATGGCAAGGGCAAGGAGGGCAAGGAGGGCAAGGAAGGCAAGGGGAAGGATGCCATGGCAGAAGGCGCCTCAAAGAGAGGACCCTCCTGATGCAATCAATCATTCTCCGCTTCGGAGGGGCGCCTGCCTACGCTGCTGTCCCTGCTGCCCCGGCCGTGCATCCGACGGCTTTCCAGTGCAGAAGTCGCGAGCCGAAGTTCATGCGGCTGTAACGTCTGCCAACGCCAGGTGCCTGAGCAGGCACCCGAGGTGCCACTCCACTCCACAGTCCACGGCTTCCTTGCGCAGGGCTCGCAGTGGTCAGGTCGCTCCGGCACCGGTGGAAGCGCCGGCGGCAGCCGCGCCGGCTGCGGCCGCTGCGGCGACTGATGGCGCGGCTCCAGCCGATCCGGCCGCCACTGTGTGCTGACCTCAAGTACACATGGCAGAGCAGCAGATGGGCAGCAACAGGGAAGGGACATGCCGCACATGCCTCTGCACAGGCCGGACTTCACTCCCGCGAAGCCGCGGCTTCTGCAGATCGTGGATCCAAACAGCCGCCTTGCAAAAATCCAAACACGAGTCGCTGAGCCGAGAAGTCAGCGGATGTGAGGTGGGAAGCCCATCGACACCATGGGCATGAACTTCGTCCCGTGCTTGCCCCAGGAATTTTCCCAGGCCCTTGGGTCCTGGCATCCTGCCCTTTGGATTTTTAGGCGGAAGCCATCCACACCGCTGCAGATCACCAACCCAAGCACCGGTGAGGCCGCACCCTTTTCGCCCCCCAGAGAGCTCTTGGTTCTTATATTTTATATCAGCTTCACTGCGTGAGGCTGTGGCGATCGAGACCAAGGGCTGAGAGCAGTTTGGCCTCACGACTTTCCGCCGGGCGGTGTATTGTGTTTCATCACAACACTTATATACAACTCTTTTTTGGTTTGTAGCCCATGGTCCGGCACTGTGTACAAGTGGCGTAAATGTGCGACTGGGATACCAGGGTCTGAAGCAAGGCCTATAGCAGCACATGGCCTCAAGAACACCTCTGTTTTCCTCAGAGTCAGATTGGTTCGCCGAACGGTGGTTTTATCAACCCTGCAGCCCTGGATTCCATGTTTCGGTTGGCACGCGGCAGCCTGCCGTGGTTCCGATTTGAAAGCCTGTGAATGTCCCTTTTGAGTTGCCCAGTGCGTGTAATGATCGAGTCGAGTCGTGGAAGGGTGTTGTAGACCCCGTCTTAGGCCCTCGTAGGCGAAGAAGAAGCGTAGTGGCTTCCGATTTCCTTGCGAGCAATGTCTCGAGTCTGGGCACTCAGCAGAGCAGCTTCCAAGTGACGCGGAGCCGCTTCGCTCTGCGGCACTGCACCGGATTGCTTCGGTCTGCGTGTACAAAAAGGGGTCCCCCCTCTACGGGCTCCCCCCCTTTCCCCCTTTGTGCTCTCAAAGAACAAGAAGCTTTGCCAGGTGCGATGGAAGCAGCCAAAACAGGATTTCTGCAAGCGGCCCAGCGGCCTCTCAGTCTGAAAAAGGGGCGAGTATGAAAACGGGGGCTCAGGTCGCAATCCCTACAACGCCGCTCGGCTTGAGTCGGACTCGCTACATGCAGAGCTTCTAGCTGTTGGATCCTTTAAGCTTTTTGTCTGTTTCTCTTTCTGAGCTTTTTTCGTCTACTGGGCCTGGCCTTTGTTGGCGTTGCCAGCACGATTAAGTGGCGAGCTGTCTGAGGTGACTGGGCTTTGCAACAAGGCGGCATGTCCTTTGGCAAACAGCCAGTGACCTGATAGAATTCACCGTTGGATCCAGATGCACGAGTTGTAGTTTCAGCTGGGAGAGGTATGCCACCATTCTGGAAGACGAGGGCGTGAACTACCTCTACATGAAAACGGCCAACATCCAAGTCCAAGGTTGATTATGGGGAAGCCAACATCAGCATTCAGTCAAACCAACCGGCCGCAAGCTTCGTTTCGGTTACCATGCCTGCGCAAGTGAAGCCTGTCTCATCCGAGGTGGAGAGAGCCCACTCGCCCAAGAATCTGTGGGAGAGAGTCAAGCTTTCCAGGACTCTCAGACGCTTTGCACCCCGCTGCCCAACCCCTGCCCTCCCCCCCCCCGCTCGTGGAATGCATCGGTTTCCCGTTTCCCGCTGCCACACTTGGCTCTGCCGTATCTGCCCGGCCGTACCAGTAGCCGGACCCATAGGGTGCCCGGTTGCCGGAAGGCGCAGATGGGGGGGCCGGGGGGTTTTGAACGTGGGGTCGTTGCAGAAGTTTCGGAAGGCAATCGGGAACAGAGAAAAGGCGAAGCTGGGGTTGTTAGAAGTTCGCATCTTCGCTTCAGTTGTGATTGCGCCTGGGAATGCCCTCAGCGGAAGCTACCGTTCAGTTCCAGCTGATGCTAATGTAAGGTCATTCAGGAATGTTCTTCAAGGCCGTCTACTACGAGCGAAGATTCGCAGCTCATGTTGTTTGAGGGATGGAATCAGAGATGTTGTTGGCTTGTGTGTCATTCAGAATTGAGAGGCTGTGCCTACTTACATAACTTTCTGCCGGAACGGCTCTGGAGCTTCTGCTCAGCACCCCTTGCAGGCATGACGAGCATTGACAAGGCCCGGAGGGGGCAGTGATTGCCTGTGGGATCCAAGTTATTGGGCACTTTGACATGCGGCCAGGCCAAAAGGTCAATAAGGCCCCAACCCTTGGCGCAAAGCCCTCACCATCGTGCTTGAGAAATCATTGAGCATCTTGTGAACAGGCGAGGGCATGTGCCTCGCCCAAAGCAACACCTTGGCCAGGACAGTTTCTCGCTGAGCGCCCTCGGCCACCAAGCGCAAAGCCAGCGCTTGTCTGCACCTCACCACTCCATCTCGTGCGTCAGCCGAGATGCACGGCAGCTGCTCGGTGTCAACATCTGAGGAACAAAGGTTAGGGCGCCGCTGTGGAGCAAGTTGGGGTTTCGCTTCGCTTTTCAGTATCGCTGTGACCGCTCACCCGCTCGGCGAGTGGCTTTGCTTGGCCAGCTGTCCAGGAATGTGTTCATTACGGAGCACCATATCAAGCCAAACCGCTTGGGGCGAGAGTCACCGAAAGTGGACACGGTGAACTTGCCGTCCACACTAGATACGAATCTGCTGCTTGGCAAAGTTTCCCTGTCTTCGGCTGCACGCCGCACATGTAGATTTGTGACTGCAGGGCAACGACGACTGGCCTCGGCTATGGGGGTAGGTCGGATTTCACGGCTCAGAAGGTGGATCCGGAAAGTGCCCTGGCAGCGAGAGAAAGTGGGAGCGGGATTATGCACATACATACAGACATACATACATACTTACGTACATACGTTACATACATGCATGCAAACATGAATAAGCAGACATCCATGCATGCATACATGCATGAATACATACATGCATACATACATACAGACCCAGACAAGTACATGCAAGTACATACAAATACACCAAAGTATATACAATCACATGCAGTTGCGTACACCTACATGCGCTTTCATACGCACTCCATTTTGAGACGCTCGATCTGGAGCTTCATGCTGAAAATCACTTGTCAACACGCAGCGCAGTCCACCCCCTTAAAAAACCCCGAATACCGGGGAAGTGACGGTTTGAAGGTTTAGAGTCCTTGGCAAAAGGCAAAGAGAGCCCGAGACCTGCTCGAAGGCGGAAGGAAGGAAGGAAGAGCGAAGGAGGCTCAAGATCCGGGAATGACTCTTACTTACTTGGCGTTCTGAAAGCTGATGAGTCTGGACTGGTCTGGGTAAAGAGAGAGCAGAGAGCCAGTCCACGCGCAGCCCATTCCATCTGGCGCTTGTCCTACTTTTTTTAGGCATCCCCACCAACGATGCTATGAACCTGCTGCCGGACGGTCAGCAGTTCAAGTATAAGCGGGAGCCGAAGATTGTCATTGGCACGGCGCCTTCGGCCGCAGTCATGAAGGGATCAGAGCCGGGGGAGGTATCGCTGGTATATCACTCATCCCCCTTAAGAGCCCCCAATTTCCCATGCTGCTCTGCTTGCTGCTCTCTTCCCAGGAGCCCCGCTTCAGCCTGAAGGAGTCCACCCTTCTGAAGACCCACAAGGCCGCCTTCTTCGGCAGATCCTCGCCGGGACCCGCCGCAGTGGGCGATCAGCCCCTCGAACAAAGAAAGGGACTGCCCTTCTTTGCCTGGCCCCGTGTTTTGTGTTCTGTTGCCTCGCAAGACCTAGGTTTGGTCCAAAGTTCGAGTCCACGAAGCCGCGAATGGCGGCGGCGTTTCCATTCGTGCCGAGCCCAGCGGCTGCCAGCGTGAAAGCGACAAAGAGAGGCCAGGCTGGCTGTGCGGCCGTCTCGAGGCCCACAAGACCAAGCTTGTTTGGCCAGGGGTCTACAACAACCCACCCGAGGCGGCTTTTGTCGGGTTTTCTTGGGCCCTGGGAAGTTCTTCTTTTTGCCAGGTTGGACCCGGTACCTTCGAGCGAAAGGAGCTGAGAGTTGGGCCCAACTGCCCGAGGGACTAAAGATGCTTTGCTCAGTTGATTCCAGGATTCCTCGATTGGCCCTCAGCATCTGAGCCGGCGTCGCAACCATTCTACGTACTCTTTCTCCAAGCAGCCGAAGTTTGGCCGAGAAGCCAAGCCCCTTGGCACCAGCTTGAAGCGCGAGTTTGAGTCTTGGGGGCCGCTTGGTTCGCCTGTTTTTTCCTCTGGAAGAGGCCGGATGATGTCATCTCGAAATACGACGCAGCGCGCAGCTGCTTCGGCAAGCAGGTGCTGCACAAGAACCGGAGCGCGCCCAGCGTGGGAGCTGGCCTCAGCTGTCTCCTTTATGGTCGCTTCAAGCACAGACAGCCGCTGCCCTGGCTGCAAACACTCAGGTTTCAATCACGACACACGTGACATGCGATCCAAGACCAAGCTCTGCATCACGCGACTTGGCACCGAGCTCCGCTGAGAAGCCTCGCGACGCGTTCCTAGTCCTAGGAAGCTCGACGAGGGGCCTCGCGCCAACTTCACGAAGATGCACATGCCGATGCCGCGGCTACCGATGGAGAAGACGACAGCTGCCTGCACAGGGATGCCGCCCCTTGAGCGTCGTTGAGCGTCTTTACACTTTCCTTGTGTTTCTGGTCCGAGGATCCTGGCCAGCGGCTTTGGCTAAACCGTGGCTAAACATGCGTCATCGCGTTTCACCCTTTTAGCATGACGAGACCTGTCCTCTAAGGGACGAGTGTTTTAGTGCCGACTGCAGACCAGCGAGCAGATCACCCAACTCGAAGATGAAACCGAGCCAGCATAAGCAAGCACTGCAGCTGCCATAGCCCTTTGCAGAAAGCCAAATCGCGCGGCGGGCGTAGAGTCCTGGAGCCTGTGCCAATGCCGCTCTGCCAGGTGCTTTGCATTCATAGGGGCCGCAGTCCGAGTGGTGGTGTGGTAGACGGTTTCACGAGCTGGAGAAAAGCAGCGAGAATTGGAGCGAAAGCGAAAGCAGAGCAAGCGCAGGAAAAGAAGTTGTGGCATGTTGTTGCCCCTTGGGAGGAACTATCTCCAGGCCCTGGAGCAGATCAACAAGCACCTGGAGCGCGAGCCCCGGCTTCCAGGTCCTTCCAGGGTAGATCAATCCCTGCAGCCTTCTTTCTTTTCATGAAAGACTCAGACTCCAGCAACAGCTGTCGCGAGAACTTCGACTTGAAATTCGCAAAAGGGGTCTTGGGGCATTTACTCTGTCTCGGAGCGGCCGTTTTTTCTCAGCAGATTCAATTGGGGTAGAGTCCCGTTGAAAATCGGAAATTGACACTGTGGTCACTGTTAGTTGCAAATGTTGCAGCAGTTCCAGGTGCTTGCTCTGCTCTCTTTGCTTCCTGCAGCTGTGGGCAAAGGCTGCGAAGGAGAATACAGTGTGGATCACTGCAGCGACCCTGCACCGTTCTGTAGAAGGACCAGCTACATCGAGGCTTGTTCCTGCTCCGGCGGCTACAAGGCCAAGGTGTTGCGACCATTGAAAAGTGTGGTGGGCGGCTCGACTCCATGGGTGGCCTTCGGCTGCTGCCCGAATGACGGTGGATGGGTATCTGATTGCCAAGAACAGGAAGCGATCATGGCAGCTGTCTGGGTTCTGTTTTCCACCTCCGTTGTGGGCCTTTTGCGAACCACCGCTATCATTACCTGCTCGCGGCCGCGGCTGCCCAAAAAGACAGTGAACGATGCGAAGCTTGAAACCTCGCCGGAGGTTCTCGACGGAAAACAGCTCCATGATACTGTCAGCATGAGCAAGTGGTGTGTAAGCTTGGACGACCTGAAACAATTCAAGCGACTCGTGATGCACGCTGTCAAGGACGGCCGCATTAAGCCGACTGAGAGGGACAGCTTCGATCCATCAGATTTGAAGATTGGGCCATCCATGTATACGGTGAACGAGCAGTACATCAAGCCTGTCACGGCGGCAGCAGGGAACGTAAGTTGGGCTTTGATGAAGCATCCAGATGGCCTGCAGTGCGATTTGTTCATCACGCATGGCTGGGCTGAGGGGATTTATGAGTTCGTGGACAAAGCTATTCACTGCTGGCCACTGCATGCAACAGGTGCGTATCTTTGCTTCCTATCCAATCCACAGAACTTGGATATTTCACACTTGATTGCACGGCCTGAGTCGTCGCCTTTCGCGCAAGCTCTGAAGTGCGCGTCGAGCATGCTGGTTGTGTCGAACGCAAAGGCTAGCATTTACTCTCGGCAATGGTATCTTGGCTCGCTTGTGTTTAGCTCTTGGGACTGTAACCAAAATGGCTTCAAAACGGTATACGGTCCATGCTTTTGCTGCAGTTGGCTCCGACCTTGCCTATTGCGAGCAAAGTCGCAACGCCTCAGCCCCGACTTTGAGCACCACGCCTGTACACTGCAACGCGGGCTGTGACCAGCTATCGTATCACCCGGCGCACCACGCCGGACCTCACTACAACTCAGTGAGCAAAAAGCAAGTGTAAGGGAGTGCATGTACGGGCGCCGGCGTTTGAAGAATCTGGCGGTGCCTCTGATTCTCATTTGAGCCATCGTTGACCTCTCTGAGAGCTTCTGTAGAGAGTGGAGAGCTGCGCGAGGTCTCGTGACAACGTTGGACGGACAAGCTTTCAATCGAAAGGAGAAGTAGTCCGACAGGAGTATTAAAGTCGTCGAGCACCTAAGGAGAATTCATGTTGCGCATGCCCTGTGGGACAAGGATGCTAGCTCAATTTGGAGATTCGGACCAGAAGTCAGCCAAGGTGTGTGTATGAGGCGTTCGTAGCCTACAAGTTGGACAAGCCAATCGTTACGGCAAGGTCCTTGCATCCAATGGCGATGACTCAGAATTTTCGTGTCGCATGCATCTACCTGGCCTCGGCGTCAACCGGCCTCTTGCTGCCAGAGCTCCTTGATGCCCTGGACGTTCCAAGTCAGATTGCCTTCGCGGTTTTCCTCATTCTGTCGTTGGGCCTGCTGGGATCACGTGGCCGCCGACTTTCAGCAATTCACGAAGCTACAGTCGCTTGTACCGCGATGTTTGCTGGGCTGAGGTTTGCTGTGGGGATTTCGTTCGGGACCTTCGGCATCTATGCCGTGCAAGACTTCTTGCTTAACTTGAGCCTCGTCACTGCGCTTGAAGTGGATCGGCATAACTGTCTACAGGCATCCAAACAGAGCGAGGAGCTCCGTCGTGGCTTCACAACTTGTCAGAATGCTCAATGTTCTTCTAGTAGCGATGCGGATGCAATTTGGGAAGAGATCCGTGGCAGCGGAGTCCTTGTGCGCGAGATCGAGTTTGCAGTGGGAGCCTTACGTGCCATGAACGTCTCCATCCGCGAGCTGCGCAGAACCGTGGAGCGCACCGGCCCTTTGGGTGATGCTTCGCACTGGAACAAAAACCATAGTTGTCTCTAGCTTCACTGCCTTCTGGGGATTTTCACCGCTTCTGCTCCTCGCCTACGGCCAAGAGCTACCAGAGGTGGATGACTCCAACTACTGGCTGGTGGTGCTGTTGATTGTGCTGTCGGTCTTGGAGGCTTTGGCAGGCATTGCCTTGCTTGTGACAGTTGGTCCAGCCTGGAGAGCCTTTGCAGCTCGGCTCCAACTTTTCTGGATACTTCTTCTGCCCATCTACATGGCGGGACTGACAACCAATCTTCTCTACTACCTCGTGCAGATCCTCGTGATCGGTCCCCTAGTCCTGATGCTCTCATTTCTGGGGCCTGCGAGGATTTCAAGAGCTCCTCTCCTAGGCCCAAGCCTTGTGCGTGTTGTCTTCTCTCTTCCTCGCTGAGACGCTGGGTGCATTTGGTGGACCGGGAACGAAGGAACGGCTCCGGCCCACAGGAGAAGTTGCCCGTAGAGCCCTCTGAATCCGGACAACTCGAGATCCAAAATTTGGGCTTTTACTGGCGCTTTTTGAGGAATGTTTTCGCCCTTTTTGGGCGACATGCATGGGCAGCACTGAAAGCGCAGATGCTCTTGCACCTGAAGTCACGAACCTTTGGGGCCACAGACCCGCCGGGCTTTGAACTTCCTCTAAGAGGACGGCCCCAAAACTTAGTGGTTGGAGATCTGCTCCGAGCGGTGATTCCGGAGTCGCGCTTTTCCTTGACGAATGTTGGTCACGAGTTGTACAGTACATCAGCATGCATAGCTGGCATAGCTCTGCTCACACGGTGCAAAACAAACGAGCGCTCGTGATCGGGAACTTCGTGCTGGGGACCTTGGGTGTCGGCCCTTGACCAACGATTCGGATGTATTCCGACTGCAGCCCAGTGTTGCGAATACCCCATTTACACAGAGCCTGACACGAAGCTTGCCAATCGACGCGGTCAAAAGCGTTTCAAAGGTCAAGGAGGCTGAGCACAGCTGCGTAAACCAATCGCACGAGATGAGCAATCGGGAAATGCCCCACCAGTCGCCCTTGTCGTCCTTCGTTGGGTGCTGCAACCGGAGCGAAGACCGCATCAAATTCTGCAAACTCGCGAAACGCAGGCGGAGGGAGCTTCGGAGAGTTCCTTTTGTGCTGGGCGTGGCGTCTGCTCAATGCTAGTTTGCCGTGTCTCCTCCGTCTCTGTGGCATCGAATTCGCAGTCAAATTCGCTGGAGGAAACTTCGGCTCGCGGTGACGAAACCTTCCAGCAAGCAAGGGAGCGTGGGACGTCTCACCCACTAAACAAGCACCAGCTTCCTTTGCGGCATGACGGAAACATCGAAGCGCGGCCATGAAGCTTCCGCAGCGCTGGCCCGCATCCAGCACCTAAGGTGTCTCATCAAAGTAACGGGAACGCACACGCATGGAACGCGATGGCTGCGCATTGTCAATTACGCGTTGATCTGCCCAACGCGATTTTGGAGGGCTCGAGCCGGCAGAAGAGAAAGGAGAGAGGCTGTGGATGGGTGGTGGGCAGTTGGTGGGCAGTTGGGAGCTGAGCCGAGGTACTGGCCAGCTGGCATTATCAACCGCTGCAAACAGCGGCTGACGAAGATGCGACAGATGCTGATTCGGCCCAGCTCTTGCTTTTGACCAATTCTTCTGGATCTGCAGCATCTACTATGTTGACGGAGGATGCGCAAGCTGGCGCTGAAAGGTGGCAGCAAGTGCGCCCTCCCTGTTGTGCCCGCCATGATGGCCATGGTATGCCATGGTATCCTGGCATAGCCGCAAAGCAAGACAGTCCGCCGCACGCAGGTTGGTACCCATCAAGAAGAAGACCGAACGGCGTGAAGCGACCCGGGAGCTCAAGGCGAGGCCTCGGTCCTAGGTGTGCAGCGCTCGGTGCTTTTTGTCGGGCCCCCAAGGCCGAGACCGCCGCGAAAGTGGACCTGGCCATCGAGCGGGAGCTCCTGGAGCGCCTGAAGCAGGCGGTGAGGGAAAAAAAAGGGGGGACTGATGAGAGTTAGGGCAGTTAGGGGGGCTGATCTCTGCGATTGGCTTCAGGGCACCTACGGTGATATCTACAACTTTCCCAAGAAGCAGTGCTGCTCTCAGCGGGAAACCGACTGAGGAGGACTTTCGGCATCTTTTGGCTTTGTTAGGTTCGACAGTATCATGGAGAAGGACGGAGAAGCGGAGAAGGACACTCTGTCACGCTTTTGGTGCACTGAGCACGGTGGCCACACCTTCGAAGGAGGTCCAGGAGGGTGACGAGAGCGACATGGAGTTTGTGGAGGACGCTTCCAGTCTGAGAAGCTGGTGTCATGTTCGGTTCCTTTCATTTCTGTTCCATGCTGCTGTGTGTTGCTACACTGTGCTGTGCCATGGGTTGCCATCCGCCATCCTACCATCCTGATGTCTTTGCAAAGTTGGCAGCAAGTCGCCAGTGCCGGGGTCTCAGACGGCAGGATTTCGGAGAGGACGACGAGGAGGAGTGGGAGGACCTTGATAACAAGGCATTCGTGAGTCTGTTCTGATGTGAGCTGTTTGTAGTCCTGCTGGAGGTTGAAGAAGTCGAGCTTGAGGATGATCTGGGCATGGCTGACATGGAGGACGACGTGTGCAAAGCACCCCAGCGGCCGATTTTCTATGAGCCTTGCCGCCAGGATGTTGCACTGCCAGCGCGGAAGAAGAGGTGCGGCCGAGTGGGATGTGAATGGAGGGTAATTATGGACGTAGCACGGCAAGGCGGGCGAGAGGGCCTCGGGTGGAGTTGGAGTACGAGGAGGAGATGGACGCAAGGTGCTTTTACGAATTGGATGCCATGGATGCCGTCAGATCGGCTTGGCCCTTGAAAAGGTAGCGCGCCGCTTCTCCGAGCTCGAGCAGACAATAAGTGCGGGTCCCATACATGGTTTTCCATAGTTGTGCGTTGACTGTGCTGCACCGACGGGAAAGCGCTGAAGGCCTCGATGCATTCGGCTCAGTCTCACCTCATCGCACGGTGTCGGTGTTGGCACCGAGAAAAAGTATTTGCCAAGGGACTGCCGGCAGCACGTCTGTATCCTCGAACGATTTTGAAGGGTTGCGTCGGATTCGACTATGGACTGCGCGTCACGAAAGACATGATCCCCCCGGCATTGTCTTTCTCACTGTGTGAGCCCTCGTCAATTTTTCTGAGTTATCGTGTTCTAGCCATCATGCGAGGAGTGTTCATGGCAGGAAGCTCGCAAAGATGGCAGCACGCCATGTTGGCAACTCCCATTGCAGACAGTGCCACCCGTGTCCAAGCATTTCTTATCGACAGCCACACTTGTGCCAGCAACATCCAGCAATGTGGCGACTGGTCGTGATTTGGGCTCTTCCTGCTGTGGCAGCGGCACTCGGCTGAGAAGATCTGGGGAGAGGTGTTGCGGCGAACTGGGCTGTGGCGGCAGCATATCGCCAGGACTACAACGTAATCAACCTCGACAACGCCACGTTCCCATTGCCGCTTGGCATCTCTTAACTGGCTTTGGGCTTTTGGAGAGGGGGGCTCTAAGCTCTCTTTTTGTTGCGGAGGCTGGTGGGCCGAAGGGGTTGGCCTCCGGTGCTTGTCCGCTTCGACCGGGTCCGGGGCCCGGCCGGAAAGCCCCTTTTTGCGTTGCGCCGCATGGGCCCGAAATGCTCCGAGGAGTACCCCTTCGGGGAGAAGGCCGATGCCTTCAAAGCGTGCCTTAGCCGCAGCCCATGGTGCCCGGAACCTGGGCTCTTTGAGCTTGGGCAGGGTGGCCGCCGTTGTCGCCAAGAGCAGCAGGCAGCTCTTCTTGAGCTTTCTGTTGCCGATTCCGAATGATTGCACTCCACTCTTCACCTCTCGCCCAGCAGCACGTTGATGGCCTCCGTGGGAATCTCGACTTACGGCGAGAAGCAGAACCAAGATGTGGCACCTTGGGCGCAGCTGGGATCCAATGTTTCATGCATTAGCTTTCAGTAAACTTCTCTTCAAATCCTAGCATCCCAGGCAAGACGATTTGGCCTTATTCCCGAAGGCAGGCAGCTTTTAGCCCCGACGCTCTGCGCCTTGGTCTGTCTTCAACATCTGGTGCGCAGACAAAGAAGAGCTGCAAAACAGCGACATGGACAAGCTATTCCCGAAGATCTTGTGCTCCATGCTGGTGGGACTGGGAATCCTTGCGCAACGGCTTTGGTGACTGTGGTGACAGGTATTTCAAGCCAGGTGACTTGGAAGGTGCAGTTGGCGAGTTGTGCAGCTCAACAGTCGCTTTTACGCGGACATGTTTTTGTCTGTCCCCCATGGTGCTCTCAAGTCTTCCACGCCTTTCTTTTCCGGAGGGCAATTGTACAATGGAAAGGTCACCAAGGCGGATGCGGGCCGTTGGGCAACAAGCCTCTGCAACATGCCTGCGGCCAGTCCCTTCCAGGCCGGGTTGCTGAAGTTTCTGGGCATTGAAGAGAAGACCTGTGACGTCCTCACCGGCGAGTTTTGCAACGAAGAGCAGCTGCCCGGCTGCGACTGGAGCTCCGGCGCCGTTTCAGCCCTCTGCTTGGAGTTCCTCCGCAGGAAGAGGCAGCTGACCTCCCTCTCCGGGAAGAGCCCCGAGGAGCTTGGCAAACTCCTGGAGGCTCCCCTTCCTTTTGGGGCTCAAGGGCTCCGGGACCTTCAGCGCAGAGATGTCTTGCCCTGCAGCTGTGCTGCAAAATGGAATTTTGGCATAGAGTGGTGCCAGTGGCTGCTAGTGCTGACCCATCCATCGCTTGACTGTGCAAGCCTGGTTCCTGGCCATCAGGAAACCATGCCCTGGACCCAGGGACGCCCCCTAAACTCCCAGAATGCAAACTGCAGAAACCGCACAGGGACGTGGACAACGGTAGCAGTGCTTGTTGCTGATCTTCAGCACAGGAAAACCCTGGAATCTATTGCAGGGTCGAAAGTCCTCTAGTTTGATAGGGTTTCGAGGCTTGCTAGTCTGGCAGTTTAGGGTTGAGGATCTGGTTTTGTAGATGAAGGTTTGGTGTTCAGCATGAAGACCCAAGGCGAGACCATGCATCACCTGAACCGTAACCAGCCCCCCAAAGAAAACCTTGAGGACTCCGTGCGTTCAACCCTCGCGAAGATGCAATGCTTTCGAGGTCTGAGCATTATTAGAGATTGTGTGCCTCTGCAGAACTTGTATTGATTGTATAAGTCTGTCAGCATACTATAATGTAGCCCAAAGGGGTCCAAACCCGATAGTCACTCCTCCTTATTCTCCCCCTTGTGGTTCGAGACGCTGAAGCTCGAGCCAGCGATTGCGTCATGCTTCTGACGAGCTTTCCTTGGCTCCCAATTGCAAGCCCGTCGGCTTCCTTTCTAAAGCCGCGTGAGCAATCTTCCTCCTGAGATTGCGAAGATCGCTGGACGTCGATTACATTGCAAGGGGCGGGATTTGTTGACACTTCGCCAGGATTTGAATTCGAGCTTGCTTGGGGGTTGATTTGAGGCCGGTGGCCGCGGCAGAACTGGAATCTGTATGGAGTCGCCGTTTGTGGCTAATGATAGACTAGACGCAGTTTGAGGCCATCCCGTTCCCCTGCCAACGGCACAGTGGATGCAAGGGCCGAATGAGATGGGTTGTGGATTTGGTTGCCATGGACAGCCATGTCCGCCAATGCCTTTTTTTTTATGGCCGTGCTTGCACCAACTCGCTGTGCCCTTGACAGGAGGAGCTGCGGAGTTACTGGATGTTGAAGCCACACCTGGGACTCTGATCATGGCAGAACCCAAGCTCGAATCAAACCAATAAACCACTCCACGGCACCCACAATTCTCGAGTTGTTGATGCCCATTGCTCCCAACTTTTCATTTGCGTTGGCAGACCTTGACCAAGAGATCAGCGCAGACGCTGAAGAAGGAGGAACGCAAGGAGCGGCCAGGGATGTTTTGCCAACGGGGCGCAGGGTTTAGGGTTGAAGGCGGTGCCTTACTTCCTGCGCTTCGCAGGAAGTGGATGGACAGTTGGCGGTGCTGAAAAAGGTCTTGAAGGCATCCCGGTTACAAAAGGGGCAATAGTGCTTCGGTGGCCGTATTCCGAGAGAGGCGCAGAAGAAGGCCAAAAAGCAGTGAGGAAGCGATCCTGTATACTGGGCTGGCCAGGCTGTTTAGTGGGCTGGCGGGGAGCTGTGCCAAGCGACTGCGACCCTGGGCCCGAATCTGCAATGCAAGGATGTGGGGAAAGAGGGTGTTTGCGCAGAGCTTCCTGGATCCCGCACATCGCAGACGGTTAGGCAACTTCGTTCTCTGCGTAAGGTTCTTGTCGGGTGCAGCAGGTTTCTCATCCTTAGCACCTCACATCGGCCAAAACCCCAAGTGATGATAAGTGATGCTTCTCAAGCTAGGAAGCCGCCATGGGCCGACTTCGCACCATGGAGAGTCTTGCAGCGTGGAACGTTACGCTTCGCCCACAATCGGCTCAAACGTGGTGCCTTCCGCGCAGCCATGGAGGAGCCGCAGCAAGCCCCCCGTCGTATCCTGGCCAGCATGCAAAGGAGAGCTTTGTGCGAGGTTTGTAGGCAAGCATCTTTGAGTACACGAGGCTCGCTGCTGCAGACCTCATGCTGAGCATCGGGAAGAGCCATCCTCGATCTGCTTGAGAGCCTCGAGATGAAGGTGCCGAGTACTCCCCGGCAGCTCGGCCGCAAAACTGGCCTGTGCCCGCGCGGTGAGAGCGGGCGCCGAGTCCCGGAGCCGAGGCCACATGTTGCCGGGTCACGGCGGATGATGAAGATCAAGGCCCTTCTTTCCGGGTGAGGACCAGAGAGGACTTCCGGAGGGACCGCGCTGGCCCAGGAGGCCATGGAGAGCCACGTGGTGAAGCTCGCCGAGGGGGCTTCGGAGCTCTACGTCCCAAAAGCCCCCCGGGCCAAAGGGCGATGCTTTGGTCCTCACTTCGGCCGGTCTCTTCCGAGGACCCCACGCAGGCCATGCAGGCCTGGGCGGCCGTGGAGGAGGCCCCCGGCCCAGGTTTGGGGAGAGATGGAACAGCGTTTTTCAAAAAGCCTCGGAAAATCGGAGGCTCGGAGGCTGGCCAGGTGCCTGGCTGAGCTTCGAAGCGTCGCGTAGCGTCGTGTTCAGCTAGGGTCAGCTCCTGAGGCCCATGAAGGTTGCGGCAACCGTGGTGGAGAGGGAGAAGCAGGTCTTCTATGAGCGACCCCGGAGCAAAGTGAAGATCAGCACGCCCCTGGACTCCGACGCAGAGGAGGCGCCAACCTTAGAAGCCAGCGCTGCACCGCTGCCCTTGCAGGCCCCCCCCCCCCGTGCAGGGTCGCTGCAAGCAGAGGTGGAGTCCTCTTCGACGTCGGATTCCGAAAACTCCGAGTCCAGCGACCAGCTCGGAGAGCCTGGGCCTTGCGCGGCCTTGCGCGGCCTTGCCCCTTGCACAGCTTTTCCCACCGTCCCGCCGAGGTGGGAGCAGAAGCAAGAAGACGAGGCCACGTCGCCGGAGGGGAGCGAAGCAGTGGTGCAGTCAGCAGATTCACAGGATAGGCGTGATGATTGGCACATTGCTGCAAGTCGGCCCAATGACAGGGACGCCGGAGCCAGTCGCCACAAAACTGTCCACATGCATCGAGCGATTGAAGAGTTGCGAGTAGCTCTTGCAGGAGGAGTTCGTTCATTTGCGGAGAGAAGAGAAGTTTCGTTTTCCAAGTGCATGTTCTGGCTCTGTGCGAACAAACCCGGTGGAGAATTGAGTCAGAATCTGTGAGATGCTATGGGTCCTTAGCTGTTGCAGATAAGTCATGTTTTGATGCCGGTTGTCTCTGGATGCCATCGAGGGCTTGAAGTCGTCATTACTAAGCTCGTTTGGAGCGCTTTAAGGCGAC